AGCTGGAACGTTTGAAGCTCAGCTGAGGCTGAACATCTTTGAAGACAATTTCACAAAGAAGCATGAAAAGTCTGGATCCCACCAGCCTTGCTCTTCTAAGCCTGTTCACACCAGGCTCACCTTCCTGCACTCAAACTGCTGTCTGTGCCAAGGAAAAACCATTAAAAACATCAACAATCCGATGCCTGTTGGCTTGCAAGTCCTGTTATTTACAGGACTTTGGATGACCTGGGCAGAAGTCACCTTTCCTGCAGAATCCCCAGGAGGTTCCAGGTCCTGGAGCAGATAAACATACCGGGACTTGGATGAACTTCAGGAGTGACAAAACATAAGGACAGAGCACAGTCAGAGCAAATTCTGTACATGCAGGACCTTGACAGAATCCTTTTGGTTGGAAAAGACCTTTCAGATCACCCAGTCCAACCATTCACCCAGCACTGCCAAGGCCACCACTAACCCACATTCCTCAGCACCACATCTACACAACTTTGAATCCCCTCCAGGGATGGGGACTCCACCCCTGCCCTGGGCAGCCTGGACCAGGGCCTGACAACCCTTTCCAGGGAGAAATTGTTCCCAATATCCAACCTAAACCTGCCCGTGGCAACCTGAGGTCATTTCCTCTTGTCCTGTCCCTTGTTTCTTGAGAGCAGAGCCCAACCCCCCTGGCTCCAACCTCCTCTCAGGCAGTTGCAGAGCCAGGTCTCCCCTCAGCCTCCTTTGCTCCAGGCTGAACTCCCCCAGCTCCCTCAGTTACTCCTTGGCTGACTTGCCCCTTCCCCAGCCCCACTGCCCTTCTCTGGACACACTCCAGAACCTCAATGTCCTTCTCGCTGTGAGGGGTCAGAGTCCAGGCTCCAGCAAGATGGGAAGATGAAGTCTGAAGTCAGACAGCTACTTCCCAGGCCCCCACTGCCCCTGCAGCTTGCAGTCCTTTCCAGTCCCTCACTCCAACATGCCACTCACATGTTTTCCAGAAACCTGGATTCCTATATTGCTGACACGTTTCTTATACATTATCTTTACATTATCTTGGCATGTGAACAGATCAAGATGGGTTCTTGTCAGGTCAGCCAAGCTAGACTTTATCATCTGAGATCCCAAAGACCCACATCCTGCAGCAAAGCCTTCCTTTCCTCCTGGGGCTGCTATCAGACTGAAGTGTCATTACTGCTCCGGTAATAACAGAACACAAAGACAAGCAGTGAGCAGAGGTCACCAGCAGTGATTGGCACCCTCTCCCCCACTCCCTGTTTAGAATAAAGGTCAGTAGGTCTCCTTCCACCCCTGCACATGTATCCTGTCCTCACTGGCAGAGCTCACAGCCTCTGCCAGCTGCTGCCCAGCACACCCATGCAAAACTGCAAACGTTCACTTGGTTTTCAAACAGAAGTCACACCCCCAGGGCTTCATCTGAACGAACTGTGATGCCACTTGGAGAGGTCTCAGCAGAGCCACAGAGTGGGTGAACCATCCTGGAGGGCATCCGAACACCCGTGGGAGGACAGGAGCTCAGACTCCCTGCCCAGAAGGACAACCTGGTCCCTGTGACACACACAGCTGGGGCTCTGCCCTCCACCTGCAGCTCTTGATCATGTCCCATCACACAAAACCCCACATTCACCTTCACAGCCCCGGGTGAACAGCTGCCCCACCACAGCAGCTCTGGTTGCACAAGAGAGCTGGGAGACCATTAGTTATTCTGACACAGGAACAGCATTTCTCTCTCTCCATCCCCAGCTCAAAATCCAGCTCCAAACCCAAAACAAACAGCTGCTTCACATATTTGAAGTGTCTGGAAGGAGCAATAAAGCTGTTTTTCCTGAAAGGCCTTGAAGACCAGCAGGCCACAGCAAAGTCACAAGTGTAACTGGGTCCTGCAGCTCTGCAGATGAGAGCAGGGCCTGGAGCTCATCCTGTGCTGACAGCAGCAGTGCTGGAACCCACCCCCACGCTGCCCTAGCCACCCTCCCACTCCAAAAACCATAGAGCATGTGGCCTGGAAGATGAGGAGCAAGTCACCTCCATCTTGCTGGCATCTCCACCATAGCCACGCAACCAGTGGCCAGACCAAGGGACAGAAAAGGGAGCCTGAATTTCCCCATTTGTAGAAGAACATCATTTGCATCTCACAGAACAAACAGTCCAACTGCCACCACTGCTGCTCTCCCTCCTAATAAATCATTAGTCTGACTGTAAGCACAGGGATCTGCAGGAATGTGGCAACTCCAGGCTGTGCTAGACCTGCTCTTTATCTCACCCTGATTCCTGTTGGGCAGCAGCAAGAGGATAAAGTTTTCCAAGTCATGGAAAAGTTTCACTAAACACCACTTTCTTGACCCTGACCCTTCAGCAAACCCAAAGCAAAGTTTGGAAAGGAGGGAGGCTCATCCAGCAGGTCTGCCAGGAGAGAATGACCCCAAAAGACCTGGATAGCTGCTCAACTGACACCAGCCCCAAAAGACCTGGATAGCTGCTCAACTGACTTGACTCATCAGGCTTGATTTTGATAACCCCAAAAGAGAAAGGGACATGTATTTCACCAAAGAACTGCAGCTTCCAGCTCACAGGAAATGTCTGCTTCTGCCCAACCCAGGCCAAAACCAAGTTTCTGAAAACCCCGTCGTATCTACAAAACAGAACCTTGTTTTTGGCCAGTTGCCTTGGCAACACTCAGCAATCTCTTGGGAAGAAACCAAGGAATGCGTCCAATTACTAGCTCCTTCCTTTTCAGGCATCAACACTCAGCCTTATTACCCAGAGTAAAAGCCACAAACATCCTCTAGGTTAAGAGTAAACAGAAATCTTTCCATTTGCTCCAGCATCAGCACCTTCTAAACCCTGGCTACAAAGTCCAACTCCATGCTTGCCACCCCCAGCAGGAAGGGAACTGAAAGAAAACCTGCTGTTTCTCCCACTGCATTTAACTCTTCCCAGAACCTTGTGGCTCTTTACTATATCTCCTTAATCCAGATCTTATTTTCCAAAGGGTGCCCTTTTGTTCCAGCCCCCTGAGCCCTGCAATGTTACAGGCAGTTCCTCCTTTGCCTTTTAATATCTCCCTTCTCAGAAGCTAGATCTTCAGTCAGGTCCTCACACAGGCCATCCCCCCACACAACTCTTAGCCAACACTGTCACAGCTGTGTGTTCCTCACAGTGTTTAGCACACTTGAGGGTGTCTGCAGAGTGGGGCAGTTAATGCTATTAAGAAGATAAGAACAGAAGCAGAGGAGCTATGCCCAATGTCACACAAATCCAACATCAAGCAGACACAACACTGGTAAACAAACTTCTAAGAATCACATGGTATTTTATGTTGGGAAAGAAACTTTGGAGGTCTTTAACCCAGACTCCTGCTCTAAGCAGGTCCAACCAGATCAGTTGCTCAAGGTTGTCTCCAGGCAAGTTTCAAATAGCTCCAAGGATGGAGATGCCACCGCTTTTCTGGGTCCCTGCTGCAGTGTTTGACCACCCATAAGCAATTCAGTTGCTGCACCAGCCTTGTCCTCATCTTCCTTCCTCCTTTTTGTACAGCTTCCACCACACATCACTTAACTGTTTTTGCTTATTCTCTTACCAGCATTGCCTGGCCCAGAGAAATGGGCTCCACTGGCTGCACCAGGAGCTGGGGTTATCTAAAAGAGTCTGCCCCACAAAGTCTCATGTGTATTTTCTGCTCCATCCTAAGAATACCCCAGAGGTAACAAGTCTGCTGGATATTTTCACCATTTATACCACACACCTGACTTGATGTAAATCCAATGAATACCCCAAACTATAGAGACAAGAGAACAGCCAGAATGAGTACAATCAATGAGGTATTCACACAGCAGAACAATTCCAGTCTGATTAAGCACTTCCTTGTAGAAGGACAAGGGAAAAAACACAGGAGCACTGAGCAAGAACCAACCACTCCTGCTTATTTGCTTATTCTGGATCTCATGGCTCTCATGCTCCAGGTCTGCTGCCTGCATTAGTCAACCAAACTAACACCAAGGGCGAGTCTCACGGAGGAATCCAACAAGGTTAAGCCACTAGAAGCAGCACTCCCTGCCTCCCTTCTCAATGAGATGCACCCTGTTCAAAGGATTTCCTCAAATTAGAGTGCTCAGTGCCTCAGGCACCCATGTGGATTCAGTCCATCAGGTATTTAGCTGAATGTAGGTAACGGAATGTCAAACACCTCTTCCCGCTACAGAAACACACATCACAGAATAGGAACAGGGATGTGTCATTTCAGTGTGTGGCCTTCAGAGCCCAACAACCCACGCCTGCTCCTCCAGCACAGCAAAATAAACTCACTCTTCCAGGCTGACTGTGTCTTTATCACATCCAGATGCACGTCACCACGCCATACAAAGACCAATTCTCAATTTAAGGCTCACAAGGATCCAACTTAAGATTCCAAGCAAGTGAGAAAACCTGGCATTGGCTCCGAAGACACTTGGAGCCACCAGTGTCTCGTGGTTCTTCAGCCACGCAGCCAGAGCGAGCAGACAGCTGGCACAATCCTCTCCTGGGGAGTTAAGTTGTTGCTGATCTTGTCCTGCCTAATACAGCCCTCATTAATTCCCCAGCCTCTATCAATAGATCACTAATGCGGGGGAAGATGCCCATGCCACGCTGCCCACTGAGCCACAGGCTGAGCGTGGAGCTCAGCATGGCCAGCACCCCAGGCATGGCAGGAAGGGCTGCAGAGGGTTCAAGCCACGGAGCTCATCCCCATCTTCTAAACAGCGGGAATATTTTCCTTTCCATTATCACAGCTCCGAGAAGCTATGTAGGAGAGGCCCTGCAGTTATAGGGCATATCCCACTCCCACCTACTCAGTGGGTCAGAACCCAGTGCCCCCTCCCCCAGGGCAAGCCTGTGGCTCTCAAAAAGGACCAGAAAGACCCTGCCCATCATCCCACCTGCTGCCTCTTGGAAAGACAAGCCAGAAGTAGGACTGAGCTACTTCCAGCCGGGCTGTCCAGCACAGAGGTGCCCCAGGCAGTTACCTTCTTGCGGCGGGAGCCCGCCTTGCTCATGCAGGACCTCTCCAGGGACAGGTAGCCCCCAATCACTTCGATCTCATTCACAGTGGGGTAGCGCTTTTTATGGGACATCCCTGCTGGGGGCCCAACAGCATTCTCCACGGCTTTGCCTTTTCCTTTGCTCTCTTCCTCCTCCTCCTCCTCTTCCTCCCGCTGCAGCCTTCCTCTGGCATCAGCAAGAGTCTGCGGCCCCGAGGGCTTCCTTTTGGGCATGACAGTGAAGGTGCTGCCTCCTCTCTGATGGGGGACAGAGTGTGGCCTGTAGAGGGGCACGGAGGAGGTCTCCATGTCCAGCTCAGGTCCGGCTCCCCCAGGCTGATCTGCCAAGCTCCCCGTTCTCGCAGCCGAGCCGGGGCTGGGGGAAACCTCCCCATTGTCCAGCTCCACAATGTCATCGATGTAAGTCACAGGTACCAATGGATCCAGAGGTGCCGACGGGGGAGTGACAGGCTCTTCCTGCTGTGGGGGAGCCCTCGGGGGCTCCTTTGGTGCCTTCTCCTGGGAGGCAGGTGGCAGGGCCGGGCCGGCGCTGGGGGCCGGGGGCACAGCCGGGCTGCCCTCCCGGCGGGGCACGAAGAGGAAGGAATTGCGTGAATTCAGGCGCAGCTTGGCCAGGGCCTGGGCTTGCAGGTCATGGGCTGGAATGGCAGCCAAGTCAGGCTTGGGGGCCGGAAGGATCTGGAAAGAGGTCCCAGCGCGGGGGGCTGAGGCAGAGAGCGGCTGGGTGGGGCCGGTGGCACTGGGGGC